CATTACAAGTTCAGAAGCAGGTAATGTATTTACTACTTTCGTTGCACTAACACCCTGCTGACGGTATGGCGGAAGCTGTAAATTCGTTTTTTTTCCTTTTCGATTTTTTTAAAACATTTTTTTGCACCTTTCATGCAATTTACCACTTTGATTCTGACTTTTTATCATTGCACGTGGTTTGTTCCAAACTGAATATAGGATGAATTTTAAACGCATTAATTTAGTTTATTTTTCATTACTACCAGCAATTTTTACTGTTTTGAGTGCGCAAATGGATTAGGATTTGACTCTGTATCTATCCTTTAGTTTATACGTATTAAAGAAAGGAAACTGGCGGAACTTATTTTCCTGTGATATATCAAATTCAAATTTAATTATCCAAACTTCCTGTCTGATATTCAAGCTGTTCTTCGTGAGATCCTTTTGTTACGCGATAAATATGTTATCAGGTACTTCTCCCGCCTTCCTAGCGAGCCTTCTGTAATACTTCTTTGGCCATATGAAGCAACTCTAATAATGGAACATAGCAATAACTTTTATTTAACACTCAAAAATGGCGACATACAAACAAGAAGAGAAAACATATTCTAACATTTAAAAATAAATTACATTCTTCGTGCGAGAGTCGCACGTGGCACTCGAGTCAGGTTTCGAATATTGCAATTCACAAATACCTTAATGTTCATCTATTTAAATTATTTAAACTACAAGATTTTATTAATATTTAAAGCTATTACAACCTCTCCCCCAACGGAGAAACTTTTTCCGAAGGGAAAAGTTCTGTAAAATTCAACAGTTTAATAAGCTCGGCTTGCTCATTTGCTTAAAGAGAAAAGGTAACTTCTCTCATAACTTTCCAAATTTTCAGGCCGAAATTTTAAGTTTTAAACAAATACTTTTACACCACATTTAAATAGAAAAAAATGGAAAATGATCAAATTAGTCTTCCTTTTGTTTTCTTGACGGCGCCTAGATCTCTTCCATGGTGAACCAGTTCCTCGGCTATAATTCACAGTAAAGCGTTTCCTCAGTTCATCTGTGCCTTTCGGATAATATTCAATTGTCATTTGCTTTCGACAACTGTTTTCTTCGTCTATTAGTAGCGGCTTTGATATTAAATCAAAAGCCGAAAGATGGAAAGATGATGATAACGCTGCATTGCAAAATGATTCTCAATATTAATTTCTTTATCGTTTTTCAAATTTTCGTGAACTTCTTCCACGTTTAATTCCGGTGATTTAACTTCTTCTTCAAATACATCTCTGGATGCTTTATTTTCTCCCTTCATCGGTTCCAAGATCTGCTTCAGCTATTTTTCTTTCCCTTTGAGCTCTAGTAGAGACGGCATTAACCTGGCGAGGAGGACTATTAGGTTCCTTTCTTTGTTTATTCAACAGTGCAAAAGTTCGATTGCCTAATAAATACCTTCCCTTGTCGAGTTCATTTCTAATAATGGCAGCCTTAGTTATTATTCGCCCAAGATCGCAATGTAGTTCGATCTCAGCCAATGGTAAACAGGTTGGCTTCAAATCTAATGGCTGTTGCACCCACACATTTTCACCTGTCAGCATTTCCGGCGTGATGTATTTGCGACAAACTATATCAATACTAGCACCTGAATCCCTTAATATAGAAATTTTATAACCATTAACGTAACCCATACTAGTATAAGGTAATAGAAATTTATCCTCTGGTTTTGCACTAATTCTGTTAAGATTAGCAGAAGATTCAGTACTATTCTTAAGTTTTGGACATTGGAGTCTTAAATGTTGATAGGACCCACACTGATAGCATTGTGGCGTTTTTCATATTTATCATCTGGACGTGGACTTCTAGGTCTATGAAACCAGCTTTGCGAATTAAATCCTGATGACAATTTTTTTTTCAGTTTTATTTTTATTATCTGAACTCAATTTACCTTGAGTTAGTGCATTGTATCTTTCTTTCTGCAGATCCACTACAGGCCTTTTTTGAAAGTTTCCGCAAACGTTTTCATAGACATCAAGTTTTTCAGCTAATTTTTTAGATGAAATCATCTCTACCCACTCATCAAGAAAATGATCTCGAATTTCAGAAGGAACTCGACGTTTCAGTTAGTCAATCACCATCAAATCGAGCAACTGATCAAAAGTCTTAACTCCTAGACCAGTCACCCATTCTTTGCAATAATTTTCTATTTCATAATTGAAATCCACCCATGTGGATTCGGTACTCTTTTGATGTTTCATAAATTTCTGCCTAAACTTTTCCGGGCTTAGTTTAAACCGTCTTAACAATAAATTCTTCACGTGTTCATAATCTTTAGCTTTATCGGAGGGTTCTCTAGCTATTAACTGGGTTACTTCGTAAGTAAGTAGTCCTAGTAAATGAGATACAAATTCTTCTTTATCAATTTTAGCCCATTCTGCTTGTCTCTCAAACAATAGCAAATATAGACTGATATCTCTTTTCTTGTCATCGAATTTCTGCATAAGGTGTCGCAGCTCCGTTTTCGGCCGGATCTGTCCGGTATTTTGAGACTTTGTCTCTGCTTCAAGTCTTAATCTCTCTAATTCATACTGTTCGTTCCTTCTCCGCTCTTCTGCTTCTTCCTGTCTCCTATGTTCTTCTCTTTCCCTTTCCTCCCTCTCTTTCCGTTCTTCTATTATTGTGTCTAAGATTCCTTTGACGAAGACTTCATCGTAATCTCTACTTTCAACAATTTTCTGTTTTAAATCGACTATTTTCAAATCTGCAGTCACATGAACTCCCAGCCGCGAGATTTTGCAAATCTTCCTTACGAGCTCTTCCTAAGTAAGACATTGTTTCTATGTTTAAAATTATTGAACGAAACACTGTGTTCTTTTATATTTCCTCAAAATAGCTCAATTCAATTACTTTAATTAATTAATGCAGTCAGGAATCACGAAATTAAATGCACTTTTGTTAAAGTACGTATACCTCAAAAATGAATATTTAAGAAATAAATTATATGAAGTTCATTCTCTCTACCACATTAATTGTGATTAAAATAAGAATAATAACATAGAGCAATATATATATCTACGTCTGGACAACTAAAATGAATATTAAATATAACATCAAATACAGTAATAAAATAAGACAATTTATTATTAACAGGAAGTAATAATCTGGTATCACTAATATTGCGTTCAGTGATGAACTAATAAAATAAAGCAATTCTATATGAACAGGAAGTAATAATCTAGTATCACTAATATTATGTTCATCTATTTAAATTACTTAAACTACAAGATTTTATTAAAATTTAAAGCTATTACACTTCGTGATGTGGTGGTCTGCACACTGGGCCGGTATTCCAGAAGTTCGTGGTTCGATTCCCGTCGAAGGCGTTGCTAATTTTTCATCTAGCCTGCTTCCGAAATCAACCTAATGCCTCTATAGTGGCGTCCGAACTTAAAGGGCGTTAAATGATGCTTCTCCTCACCCAGGATTTAGCGATTGGGTTCCCTAAAAACCCCAGTCGTCCTTTAAAAGGGGGAGTATATAAGATAGTTCCCCCGCTTTCCTAGCATGCTTTCGTTATGTGGTGGTCTGCAAGCTGGGTCGGTGTTCCAGAGGTCCGTGGTTCGATTCCCGTCGAAGGCGTTGCTAATTTTTCATCTAGCCTGCTTCCGAAATCAACCTAATGCCTCTATAGTGGCGTCCGAACTAAAAGGGCATTAAATGATGCTTCTCCTCACCCAGGATTTAGCGATTGGGTTCCCTAAAAACCCCAGTCACCCTTTAAAAGGGGAGTATATAAGATAGTTCCCCCGCTTTCCTAGCATGCTTTCGTTATGTGGTGGTCTGCAAGCTGGGTCGGTGTTCCAGAGGTCCGTGGTTCGATTCTCGGCGAAGGCGTTGCTAATTTTTCATCTTGCCTGCTTCCAAAATAAATCTAATGTCTTTACAATGTAATCCAAAGAAAATAATCTTCAAAATTCTTCCAAATTCACAAGATCTCATATTTCGCAAATTATTTTTCTCTTTGTGGGGTAAATTGAAGATAATGTTTGGGCCGCAGCTGCCACCGGAACTCAAAATCCGCATTATCACAACCGTCAAAAAGTCACTGAAATTTGGAGAATTCTGATTGGTCAAAAAAGACTAATCTGTATTTTAATCCAATATTAATTTCAATACACTCTTTTTCAGACAATTATCCATATACTTGAACCATTGTGGTATTGTGTGCAGAAGTTCATTTTAGAGAACCCGATTACGGGTAATGGTGATTATCCATTTGCATGCAAGGTTTACCTTACTCAAACACTGTGCAGCTGGATTGTCAAACAACATACAATTATAATATCCAAATTGTTAGAACTCTAAAATTTTGGTATCATATTTTAGCTAAGGCAGATAATAATTTTTAGCCCAAAGAGACAATTTTCTGAGAAGGCTTATTAAATTCGTTTTGGCAGTTTGTGTTGGTTCATTCTAAAAAGGCGTCTCATTTTTCAGACTGTTGCCACCAAATATTAGAGCTCTGCATTATATTCAAAGAAATTAAACAATGAAGAATCTGTATGAATGTATGCATGTTTCTCGCACTGTGAAAAACAATACCTAATGTCATCAAATTTTGAATAACGTAATCCTCCACTCGCATATGGGCAACTGGAAGCCCAAATTTAAAGTTTGAAATGTGTTTTATTATCTATTTCATATTTTGCAAAACTTTAACAAATTTTTGATTAATAAACTCAACGATTTCAAAACGAGCAATGGCAACACAGTAGGAAAACATAATTATCTCCAGCGCGCGAGACTGCCTATCGGAAATTATGAAGATATGTTGTTTGCAATTAAATTATTTTACGTAAATCATTTTGTGATATATCCGTTGAATTGAATATTATGGTTTTAGCGCTAAGAATAACATATTTAATAAATAAAGGTAACACAGAAAACGTTAAAAATACGCCCCTTTGGGTGTAATATAAAATATGGAAGCTTTCAGATTTTTAAAAAATTTTTTTTACTTATATTTAAAGGGAAAGACGCTCTGTGGTGTGTGAAGAAGTGGAATGTTCGAATTCATCAGTGAACGGGTTTTGCGAGACCTTTCCAAAGTACTGCCCAAAAGATGGAAAAGTCCTTACAGACGTAAGTTCTAAATATTTTACTTATTCTAATTTTAGTTATGATTAAATGGAATGAGAGTGTACTATGCTTCCTATTCTTTATTGATGTATTTATGATCTATTGTTTATATCAATGTATAATTCAGTCTCAGTTCACTAAAGCTCAACTTTGTTTTTTCTGGAAGAAAATAATAATTTCCAGAAAATATGAATCGTAATTTTCGGTGAAGCATGCATGAATCATTTTTAATTTTTATTCTGATTTATTATATCATTTATATTTTTAAGTACACAGTACACATTGGCAGAAAAAGCTACATAGGGTATTTAAAAGTCACTTGATTAAGTATCTCTTTGTAGAGTTTCTCACTTTGCAATTCTAAGTTAATGTTGGAAGTGAAGAATCTTAAGAACTGATAAGCGAATAATCGCTCAAGTTCGGGTGACAAGAAAAAACAAGATAGAAGAAGGGTAACTAACCCTTTATTATTCCAATAAGATTTAGCAAAACTCCGCCTGGGAGTGTACAAACAAAGCCCTCACTTGGGCTTGAACTTAAGAGACTAAGAATTAAACTAAAACTAGGATTAACGATTAACTAAAGAAATATTAGCCGAAGCTATCAAGATTTAAATCGAGTTGGCCCCTTAACTTATTTGACTACGAAGCTTAGCAAGGGCCTGTGTACGGCCGAGCGTAATAACAGCTTTGAGAGAGAGAGAGAGTGGCCAAAAAGGCAGACGCGCACAAATCAGAAACTCTGATTCTCTCTACCTCTGTAAGTAACTTCGTGGTTTAAATACCACTCCTACTCATGAAAAATTCAGCAAGATTCCAAAACTAAATTCTGGCCGGAAGTAGTAAGTTGAAGTTAAGAATTTGACATGAAAGGAACTTTAACTTAAAATTTAACTGTTAATAAAATTAACATAATCCTTACATCTTGAGTAAAGATGGGATAAATACTTTTCTCGAATTTGGAAAAATTTCCGATTCTTTCATAATATAAATAATATTTAGAGTAAAAATAATAATGTTACGTGGATTGAATACATGCAGAACTGAAGCTAGATTAATAAAATTTATTTTCCCAAAAGAATCAATTTACATTTCTGGAACTTTTCACAAAAGTACTCGTAAAGCTCTTTTCAGTATCGCAGAGCACAATCAGTAGTTACAACTTACTACGCTAAGAACGTTAAGCACGAAACAATATAAAAAGCCGCAATGCATTAGCTCGCATTCATTCAAGAGTGATATCTCAATACTCTGAGCTTAACTCCGAATTCAACACAGAACTAAATGACAAGTGATTCTTTCTCCGGTCTTATATAGTTTTCCCCCAGCGGCTGAGAAATTTCTAGGATCTTTTATTTTTTGAAATTTATTAAAGGCATGCAAGCAGTAAGTGTTATGTAGGGCCGGATACAGTTACATTTGCATAGTGATCGAACCAGTTATTCAGAGGTAGGGCCGAAACGTCGCCAAATGATCGCCAAGATGGTCACTTTTGGAGATTTCTAGCCAAATTTAGAGACAAAAAATACTCGCCAAAACCGCGAATTTGGCTCTATCTCGCCGATACCTGAATGTAAATAGACCTGCCCTGTAACATTATTTTTCCAGGTGAGTTTTCCCTTCTTGAGGTTTCTCATGTTATATTATACTATTATACTAAAATTTTCAAAAAACGAAATACTAAAATGTTCATATAATTTCAATAGTTATTTACATACATAAAAAATTCATATATCTTTAATGAATTTCGAGGAAATAAATTTAAATGAAATGCAGCAAAAAATGCGCATAATTTACAAGGAAATCATGTGGTGTCCGCATCAGATTTTTAAGTTCATTAATCAGTTCATAATTCGTTGTGTCCGTATTTGAACCCGCTATTATGTTACTATTCTTGTTGCTTTGCTAGGAGATGTCTCATTGCTCTGCGGTATCGGGAGAAATTTGATAAATTTCTTTCCATATAAGTTAACTTTAACTATTATTTTTTATTTGATGACTGAAGTTGTGCTGTGAAATTAAAAGACATTTGAATAACTGAGGGGGGGGGTGAACATTTTGGGTTAGTTGACAGGATGAAGACATAGTGATCGGCGTCTCCATGATCTCCACACAAGCATATATATGTTATTATTATTGTTCTTTTTTCAAAAATATTCAAGGGGCTGTTCGTGTCCTGTTAAGTATTGAGTGAGATAGGATTGGATAGTTTTTGCTGTTAAACTAATGTTTGGAGAAAAGGTGTAGGTACTGGGTACTGTGTTGACATTTTACCATTCCTGCTGCTAGATATCGTGTATTGTTTAATTAATGATATTTCGAAGATGAGATTTTGGGAGTTCGACTGATAAAGGCGTTCCTTCTTGATTTAGGGCGGCTTCCTTGAGCAGGTTGTCTGCCAGGTCGTTACCCAAATCACTAATATGACCATTGGTCTAAGAGATGGAGATTTTGGGGGTTAGGTAAATTTTAGGATGATTATTTGACTTCTATGGCAGATGGATTGTCTGGATTTAATATGAAGAATATGGAAGCTTGTGTATCGGATTTTGCATTTAGAATCTGTACATTATGGAGATTGGCTAATTGTATTGCTGGTTTAATTGCACATATTTTGAAACCGTCAATATAAGCGATTACTGCATTCTGTGGGGTGAAAATGTCATTATTGATGAATCAAAATTTTCTGTGAGGTTCGGCTGGATGTCTACTGTAAGGTAAAAAACAGGATTTATATTCTTCTGTTTTAAAAATTTGGTCTTCAAACGATATGTTGCTTTTGAGTTGTAGGTATGTGGAGTAAATAACTTTATAAATTTCATGTAGGTGGAGAGGAGTGTAGCTAGCATGCATATTGAATGTTGCGCTTAACATCGTGTGGTAGCCATGAGCGATGCATAGGCTGAAGTGTCTGAGAATAGAAATTAGGATATTCGTTTCCCTCTCGGTCATAGAAAGGGCTCGTATGGCGTCTCTCTATGTTACCATTTTCTACATCACCGTCAGGATGAGACCCAGTTGTATTCATGGAAACTTCTGAGGTTCACGCTAATTTGGTGCTTTCTATTTTTAATTACCTTCAGATGGTTAATGCAATTTTGTTTGTGATCGATGTTGATTCCAAGGTATTTTATGGCTTTGAACTTCTTGAGGCGTTTTTCGTTGTTCTTGATAATTGTTTTGTAACTTTCTATCCGAGTTTGCGAATTACCCTGACTTGGGATTTCAGTTCGGATAGTAGTTTATTTTGAACAACGATTGCTGAATTCGGTTAGTGTCTTTTTGCAGTTCATTTCATGTCTCAAGTCCGTACTTTGATTACAAATGTAAATGTTCCAGAGGTCTACAATCACGCAGAACCAAGGGCAGCATCTTCATTGCTTTGAGGAGATTACGATGCAGTTGTAGAGAATGAAGCTATTTCTGTTATTGAGAAAGGTCCTTGATAGTAAGGTAAAGGCTATTTGGACATTCTGAGTTGATGAAAACTTGGAAAACTGAAGGCCATCAAAGTGAGTCAAAGGCATTCTTAAGGTTTAGTCCGAGGACTGCCGGAGCGGTATGCGTCGATTTTGTTTTCTTCGGCTCGTTTTAGGACTGCTTGAATAGCCTTGATTATTGAAGTCTGTTTTCGAAATCCGAAATTTTTTGTGTCGATTTTGTCATTACGATGAATGTGGAATCTGACTCTTCCTATTATGCTAACCCGTTGTAAAACATTCGAGGAATGGGTGGAGTTGTGTGCATTTGCTGCAGAGTCTGTTTGAGATAGCGGAAACACATTGCGTTCAAATAGGCCAATTTCTGGATTAAAATTAAAAGATATCTTGAATTTTTGACGAATGCCATCAATCTGGCACAATGAGGGTAAAAGAGTTTTATTTCGAAAGCTATTGCTATTTCTCGTTTTTTAGTCCCTGCGCTTATACAGAAATTCTAAAAAAATCATACAGAATATGAAATGGATTAAAAACAAATTTGAAACTCAAAATTCGGGCTCCGAGGTACCAATGGTCAGATGGATTATGTATGTCAAAAGTTCGGTGGCTCTATATACCGTCGTGTTAAATTACAATTTTCAACATTCGAAACTAATTCTTATAACATCTGTAGCTGGGAAAATGTAGCGCATTATTTTTGAGAAATATTCTACAGAACAGATGAATTTCTTCTTTAAACGGATATTATTAAGGAATGTTAAAGTAATATAATGAGGCTTGTACGAAGATTAGCGATTAAATTTTATGTGCGCGCAATGCATGAGTTTTTAATATTCTTAAAAGTGATCGGGATAAATAAAATAACATTGCCAATTAATTATTTTCTTTTACTTGATCAGTAAACAAATAGTAAACATAGGGCGCTTTTTATCCTATTTTGTCTAACTGAACTATGTTAGAAATTGAAGAAAAGCAAATAAAACAGTGTCTTTAAAAAATATAACACATTTTTTCCATCTGGAATGTGATTTCTAGGTATGTATTTCATTACACAACGAAGTTTAGAAACTTTTGTAGGATGCATAATAAATAAACTGAAAATTTATGTTATGAATTTACATCATGCCATCTTTCAAATTAAAAAGTTTTAAATATGCGTGATTTTCTGTCCTTATATTTTGGATATGATACATACTAGATATAGAATAATTATTCAGGTATCAAAACCAGAGTTTAAATATTTTTTAATCATGTTGATGTATCACTTCAAATTAGAACCAGATTTTCAGTCTTGAAAGGCTGTATTTTGTTATATATGAAAATTTTATGTTTTTAATACTTTTAACTTTCAACCATGAACTTTGATTCATGGTGCCGGAAAAATTAACTAAAAAAAATCAAATATCAAATAATTCACATTCAAAATCTAATTCATAATATTCATATATCATTTCGACATCTTATAAACATTCGTATAGTGGTAGTACAATTTAACTTTTTAGGTTTGCGTTGTGAGTAACCTATGTAAAGGGAAAATCAATAACTCCAAATTCAATTAAACTCCATGTTTCTTAAAAGCCTTCCGGCTCAAAGAAATGGAGGGACATGACAGACCACAGTAAAATATATACAACATAAATACACAAATACAATTAAATTTTAAACACACATTTATTAAATTCTTGACTATTTTATATAATTAAATAATGGATAACTGATCAGTAATCCTACCACATATTTTAACTATGAGAATATCGCATCTGTTACACAAAAATACAGCTTTCAACAATTAAAAGTTAACATTTTTTTTTCAAATTAAGTAGGTGTAACAAAATTTAATCCACCTAAAACTGGCATTCACTTGAAATTATAAATAACTTATCAATTTTACTAACTGTAATATTTAATTTATGTAAGTAATAACGATATACAGGTAGATAAATCACGATTAACTGTTCTGCATTCGGGAAAACTAAGAGAGAGAGACAGAGAAAATATACTTAAAATTTCACTCACAGATGGAAAACAGTTTTTCCTGATTAGCAGGCTCCTTAGTGTCCAATCCACATGGAAATGATCCAAGCACATTACAGTCTAATAATTCTTCAAACAGCTAGGAATCGCTTTAACTGTCCATTAGGTGGGAACCAATAGTCCAATTCAGAAGCGTCTGTTATCTGTCCATTAGGTGGGAACCAATAGTCCAATTCAGAAGGATCTTTTTTCAATTCAATAACAGGTAGCTGAATATACACCAGTTTTAGCACAATCACGTGCATCATCGAAGCGGCGAGGCAGCATTTTATGCTGAATGTTTCGGAGAAAGGCTCTTGGAGATTAACCGGCGATTCAGGTGAAGAGAGAAAATCTGTGCTAAATTTTCTTGGTAGATTTTTCTCTATACATCTCAATCAGCTCTCAGTAAAAATGCTCTTTGCAGCTCGCGCACATTTCTTTAGACATCTCGCAGGAAAATGTTCCTTGCATCTCGCACAAAACTTTTAAACATCCCGCAAAAAAATAATTCTCTAGAGCAAAGAAAAACGCAACCCAAGTTCTCTTGCCTCGGCAACCGGCCGCATGGCAAAGCCGGTAGCAGGGCAAAACGCCCCTCGTTCGCTTTTTTCCTTCACATCACGGCTGCTCAAAATTCACTCAAATCAGACTCCGCTACAACCATCACCGCAGCCCGCTTGTACAAGTCGCTCGCCCCGCAAAGGGGGTGCCCCGTAAAACTTTCTGCTTCTCTTTTTCCTTTTCGCTCAAAAATCTGAATCAGAATGATCTCTAGGCTGGTGCAAGCACCCAAGAAATCTCGGTTCTCCGCCTCTGTGAGTTCATAGGCTTTCAAAAAATCATAAAATTAAATCTTACCAATCCCGGAATTTTATATTATCTAAATTGAGAAAATGACACACCCATGACGAATCAAACACCAGAAAATCGGACAATGCAATCCGAAAAACATCTGCACACATAACGTGAGAAAAAGTAGACCCCCCAACTAACAAGCGGAAAATAAGCTCCACGAGAATCCAATTACCCAAGGTTAGTTTAACCACCCACTGTCTTGAAGTAAGAAAACTGCAACCTTAACAAAGCGACAGGAAAGCGATTTCCGTTTCACACGCCAAGAATTAAAAGGGCGACACACGACTCCCAACTACCTCCATTGTTGGTAAAAGCCATAAACCAATAAACCAGATGGCTTCCGCAACCGTTTCCCGCCTTAGTTACAATTCCTACTCAAGAACAACAAGTTAAACAACACTTCAAGAGCCTAAGAATACTTTTTTCCAAATTAAAATACACATGAATACAAATAAAAAATATTAGAATAATAATAACTTAAAACACATATTAATAATTTAAATTCGCTACATAACAATTTGAACATTTCACTGCTAGTTGAGGTTAAAGGATAAATCATTGAGAAATGATGTTTCTTTATTTGGTTAATTGGCGCCATTTTTTATATGCGCTGCAGGAGTAAAAAAGATGTCATTCATTCATAATAGTGTCATTTTATGATTTGATATTTAGGATATGGTTTCGTGCTAACAACGTAATTACTATGCTAACAACGAATACTTTTATGAATATTATTAAGCAGATGAAGCTACACAGTGATTTAACAAACACGTTTCGTAAATTATTGTCAAATAGGTTGAAACAAATAATAATAATTTACGATAAGGAAACTTCATTAGTTATTTATTTTTTCAGATACCTTTTGTTAGGGAATTGGGAGCAAAGAATTTAGACTGGAAAATAGCAATGAAGAGGGCTCATACTGAAGAAATGATAAAAGGTTGCCGGATAAAGATAGAAGGAAAGTCTTACAGATGTAGGTGAGTATTGCTATATATGCATGACGAGATGAATGTACTGACTACAGACGCTAATTTTAGGCAATTAAATAGATTTAAAATAAATTTTGTTTTCAAATCAGCATTAAGAGATTCAGTAATTATCGACATTTAAAATTTGTCTATCGGCATTCGTAATAGAGCTTCTGATTTATTAAATCTTAAACGAAGCAGAGGAGGAAACGTTTTGCAAAAATGCTTAGGTAAGTCAATGAAACAAAATAATTTGAATAAATTATTTAATTCCTATTTGTTTTGCTCCGAAGTATGAATTACAAATACGATAGTTTTATTTCCTGATATTTAATAAAATTTGACCTATTCATCTGGATGAAGGCTATAAAGAGCTTCGTTTCTTCAATAAAGGACCAAGAAAAACGTTCTCTAAAAACATTTAAGTCAGCTTCTAGCTAGTGTAAGACAAAGTTACAGCTAACTTCACTTCATTGGAAAAAATATTAATATGTTCGAAAAATGAAAACGATTTCTACAGGATTTGTTGAATAAGAACCTGCTTAGATCTCATAGCCGGTTGTAAAAGAGAAGCCCAGGGGGAGTTGCTTTAAGAGAGAAAATACATCACAGTTAATAACTTGCATGTTTATGTGTAGAGTTCACTTGGCTAATTTCCAAGTGAGAACTGGAAGAGTAGTAACTGCAAAGGAGAAGGGTTAAAAGTACCCTTTATTAACTCTTTAAAATTTACAATGCATCAACTCGACGCAAACACACTAACTCTTCTTGGCCGATAACTAAAACCACAGAACGAAACTAAAAACTTGAAGATATTCACAAGTCGTAGAAATAAGCTACAGGGTTCAGATAATTCCTGTTTCTTAAACCCGCGTCGAAAACTATTGGCAGAAAATAAATGCAGTTATGCCACGTAAAACCAGCAATAACTCCGGGAGCAGAAGCTTACTTAACAGAGGTGACGGTAATAGCCTAACTTGTCTAACTTTTCTACTGAACCTCAGTTTTTAAACTCTTTCTTCACAAGGTAGAATTTGCATTCGCTCAAGCCGCCTACCAAATTTAAATATTCTGGCATTGACAGTTATAAGAATGAAAGCTTATAGGAAAAACAGCAAATTAAATAAAATTGGTTATTTAAAATAAATACAAATCCCTACAGTTGCCCCTGACAGAATTTAGCAGACTTGGATAAAGGTCCTTAAATATCTGTTACAAAGTGTTAAATTCTACATCAAACAGGCCCTGAGTCCCGTTTACATACGAATCTAAAAACGTTTAATTTGATAATATATAGAAATAATATTTCTTCTTTTTTCCTTCTGCTGACTTGCTTCATTTTTCCTTCTGCTGACTTGCTTCCTTTTTCTTGCTGACCAAGGTATTCAGTCTTGTCTTCCCAGGCATCTGGAAGGAATACTTATAAATAAAAGTTCGTATCAAATAATAAATAACATTTTACTTTCACAAACATTGATCCTTATATTGAGTTTTTACTCTCTTACATTTAACATAGTTTTCTTAGGTTTACCAAACATTGCGGTTTTATCAGAGCACATTCAGTCATACACATTCATGCTTTACTTTAACTTAATTCTCCTTTCGGCTCTCCACAATGTGTCGTGTAAAAGCAAGTGCTATATGTCAGAGTGAACAAACGCTCCACCTAAACACACATCGAATTTTTAGCACATAACAACCCAAACAAAACCTGAACTACTAGTTCTTTACATTAACCATTACATTTTTACAGTACACTATAGCTTTGTGCTTTCGTCAGATAAAACTAAAATAGCTTTAGCCCTTAACCGAGGAAATTGACTTTACAATGTACTTTCGTATTTGAAAAGGTTTTTTGGCAATTTTACAAACAGAAAATATTTATTGAAAAAAATCACTTATATTTGTTTTTCGCCGCCTGGTATTCAGCCATCCTTTTATTGCAGAACTTACTCCATGTCAGGTTATTCACGCTGGAGATTCTGACTTATCAAGTGTCTGTTGTTAAATGGGCATAAGGTGAGCTTACGAGACGTTACTTCATTTTCAATAAAGCTACATTTTTCTTTTCTAATTTTTCAGATCCTCATAAAGTTATTGCCATTCAATATTTCAATAGTTCGTAATACTTACTTTTTTCACTCTTACATTGTGAGGTTCCTTTATGCTAATTCATCAGCTATTTTAAATTTTGGATCTGTAATGTCACTTATACCTATCAGTCCTCCCTTCGCCCAGAATGCAAAATTGACTCACATGTGTTTAATGTTAGGGTATTGAGATGGTAAGACAGAATGTGTTCTTGTTACTAGGTTGCTATCTTAGATAAATGTTCTTATCTTCTTCGGCCTTTCATTATAATTAACGATAGATGAATTCTATAAAAGTTAAGTTTTCATCAAACTTCGCTTTAAACTGATTGTGCAACCTTCGGCTACTAGTTTATTTGAATTAAAATTTTACATTTGAACTTACTGTTGCTTTAAATATCTTGCCACAAGTGTTTGGCTGAGTTCTAAGCAAAACGTGTGCGTTCTGTTCATATTTAGTTTTAATAAAGAGTTCTTTAATAAAGAGTTCTCTTTTTTTATTTCCTTCCAAAGTTTCAGTAGTTATTTAGTCATAATTCGCTTAACGGCTACCAAGAGTTTAGAATGAAAACTAAACTCTGCAACATCTTGTTGTCCAATAATTCCTGACAGCAATATGGAAAAATAGGATGAGAGTCGTTTTACGATGCTAAATGTTGCTGCATATCATGCGAGAGAGTAGCACTTAAGAATGTTTCTATCAAAAGATCATTCTGAATAATGCTGCGTCTTAGGATATAACCCTATTTCATATCTATCTAGTATTCTTCCAAGGAGCTTCGCTTCTCTTATTGAGGAAGATTATTAATAAATTACTCATTAACTAAGCTGGTGTCTTGTGAAAACAAGATGAGAAACCCCGTAGCTTCTCACTTTCTCACATGTTATATGCTTAAGCATTATCTTATCTCCGGTTATGTATTCAGTTCGAATGCATCGCATAGCTCTTGAGCTGTTATTAGGGGAGGCAAAAATGATACTTTTAATTAATCAGTCATCCTGATTTGCGATATTTCTAACCTCACACTAACCACACGTTGTTAATATCTACTCTGATCTAACATTGCAGCATCCGATGATAATGCATATCCTCGAAGAAACATCTTCCCGTCACAATACAGTACGTATTGACAACATTCGTAGCGACATGCGGCCTTCATGCGTCGATTCGTATGGATAGAATTTATGTCCTGCTTTGTTAAAAACAGAAAAATTGAGTTCGTAAGCCTAAGAATCTTTAATATAGCTCTGTGAAGACAGATGGTAAATCGTTAGCTTCAAGAATAAGAAGTTATAGTAAAGTACAGCTAGTGATTGGAGCCGCATAACAATGTTTTAGATTATAACATCCACTCCGAAATCAACATATCAAGAGTGTTTTATTGCTTACAAATATTAATCCAACACATTATTTAGAATGTTTTAGATTAATATTTATCATAATAACTGTATTCTACTCCAAGGCATTAGCTTTTTGTATTTTTTCTTCAAACAAAGCAAACTTGTTTCATATCGTGTTACAGTTGCACATACCAATTACAAGAGGAGCAGTTTTTTTTGCTTATGAGTGGTAAGTATTTTCAATTCTACCAGATATACATTCTAAACTGAAAGTTACACTAGAGATAATATGAGACCATTGAAGATGATTTATTCTACACTGAGAAAGACATTATCATTGGAGATAGCATGATAACATCTAAATGTATTACTGTTTCAGCCAAATAATGATGTATGTCAGCGCTAAGTCCTTTTGAGTAGTAGATAGTATAAATGAAGGGTACCAGTTCCACGGATTCTATCGCCTAGGAGCCCTTTGATGGAAACTGCTAAAAGAAGCTATCAAGTATTTTATTTTAATTTTATAACACGATTTAACACAGGTAATCAAAAATAGAAATTACAACTATTAAACAATTAGATGTGAAAAGTCAGAAAGTTCTTGGTTTTACTATCTTGAGTAAATTAAAACGTTGGAATAACTTAAGCTGAAATTGTTGTATATTTGAACTATTGAACAATTAGAACAATATAACATATTACAAATGTATTATTTACTTCTTAACATCATTTCAGTGTAACAGAATAATCATGTTAATACCTATATTGTAGTAGGTAATTCTGTGGATAGGTGCAACAACAGAAAACATCTTTCAAACCAATTCTGTATCAATCACATGAAATAACAATTCGAGTAATGATCAGAGTGAAACATATATAAAACAATTCTAAATTACAGAAAAAGTTGCTTTGTGTGCATTAAAAAACCTCCAGTGTAAAAGGATTAATTAAAATAATTAAAAACAAGGTAAGTAAAACCTAACGTTTATTTAACTCTTTGAAATCCAGACCCTTCGCTAAGCTGTATCCTCAAAATCCCCGAACCGCCCGAAATACTTTTCCAGTTTCACAGCAATTTCCTCCCCTCCCCGTCCATTAACGCAGAAAATAGGTGTGAAGATGTCCAATGACATCCTTTGTACTTTTTAACAAAGATTCCATTAGCCTTTGACCCCTTTCTTTATAAAACTATTCTGAAGGTCAGATCAACAAGCCTTTCCGGCTTTGTTATGATCATGACTGAGATTTTGTTTATTTCCGTTATTTTTATAGGAAGGAATAAATTGTTTAAAAATAAATATGATCCTTAAATTTTTAAACTGCTCTTTTATTGCTGTTTAAAGCTTAAAAGCACAATGTACCACAAAAGAAGCAACAACGAAATGTCACGATCAACCAAAAGATAAAAAAACTCTTAGAACAAGCTGTCTGCAGTAAACTGATACAATGCATTTGGGGAAAGTGCACCTGCTAATACATACCTTAGGGGGAGGGAAGAAAAGAAGATTACGATCTTGGCCGTTTTCGGGTGGTTCTGGTCGTTTCAATGTACGGCCGTGTCGGGCGGATTGTATGTGAAGGAGTTAAGGTGATAAAGAGATTTGTTTACATTGCTGATAGAGTCATGATAATCACAATTTTCACTACAATTATTAAAAGGTGGCTGGTTAACAACTTTAGCTGAAGAACACAAAGGAATAAAACATACCTTTAAAAACATGGTCAGAGGGGGCGCCATAGCCTTAATGCAAAATGGAACTATTCACACAAAATCTCTAAAATACATATATAGTTAGTTCTTAGACATCTTTACAAGGCTTGCCGCATAACTGTTGAAAAGCAAAGAAAGAAGTAAGCGAAATAAATATAACCAACCAAAGATAACATCAGGAACGATGTCTGGCTCCAATTTTCCGTCCAGTTCAGCCCTTCCGACAGGATGGTTCAGTACGTCTAACACTCCGGAGGCCATCTCCTGCGTGCTACAAGGATCCGGAATTCATTTTTTTCCGACTCCAATTATGTGTCCATCAGTTCACCCTGAAGCTCTCGGAGTTCCGCCATGAAGAAGATAGAAGTCGGTATAATTTTGTCGCTGCAGTTCCGTCCAAAAATAAAAAGGTCTATTTTGAAAATCTTTTCTCCGTCTCTGGCTGTGTCAAAAAAAGTGTAATACAAAATCCTTTCTCCGTCTCTTTCTCTCGGAAAACACTGCGCAGCAACTTTAACAGCTGGCGCGTTTTTGAAAAATTTGGCGAAGAATGTGATCAGCAAGAAGCCAAGCACAGCAACCCAAACAGAGAAATCTTCACAGGAAGGGGTTTCCCGACTACTAGAAAGAGCCCGCATGTGCAGTTCAACCATTCGGACTCCAAGGCCACTCCGCTGGGTCAACATCTCTCTGCAGATGAAAACAAGGGGGGGGGGGGGCACTAACCTCGCTCGAGGCGCAACTCGACCATGTAGAGCTTCCTATCCAACGACTTTTCCCCCCTCAGAAATAGCTCGCTCTAGTACCTTTCTATGCTAGAGATGTCACCGAAACGGAGGTCCCGTTTAAGTAAAACTGACGAAGCGCTGATAAGACGTGGTGGAATCATTACATGTGTTTTCATGCTTGAGCGAAAGAATTTCTGGGTGCAGTAATCCTTTGATAAAGAATTCTGAGTGAATTCCAAGCCGACGGTTGGGATGAGAAAATTTTCAGAACCAGTGAATAGTTATGAATTTAGGACATTAAAACTTAAACTATTACATATAATTAAATTCATTAAAATGTCAGCACAATGTAAATTGTTTCTTCAGCAGAATTTTGAGTATACACATTCATTATCCAGATTGAGTTAACCCAACCACCACCATTCAGAAAATACAAATATATTAGTCACCACCAGTCAGAAAATATAAATTCGACAACTTTAATAGAAAGAGGGGTAAAAATTAATTTACCATAAGTTAAAAAAATGAACACACTGAAAGTGCAACAAACAAAACTTAAAAATAATTAAAGTTAAAAGTTAAACACCCTTAAGGGTCAAAAACAAAAAGTACAAAAACCGAGTAAACTTAAGTCTCTAAACTCAAATTAAAACTAAACAACTTAAGAAAAATTTTAAAGCAACCAAACCTAAATTTAAAGTTTACAAAAGTCACAGTTTAAACTTACAACCAACTTTCAAGAATTAAAGCGAAAAATTAATGGATTCAATTACTAAGCAAAACAGAATTAAGTAAGCAAAACTTAAGCTAGAAAATGATAACAATCAATTAATACATAACACAATTTTTAAGAAGCCAATGTAGCTAAATGTTTGCAAAGTTCTTTTCATCCTGTTGGAAATATATCCATTCATATTTGAAAAATATTAGTTATTGTAATGCCTAACAGTTCCGTATAGTATAATGCACATTATTACAGCAGTCTAAAAGTTTCCTGGTGCTGTGTTAGTATTTTATGAGAAATATCTGGTATAACATTGTTGAGAGATATTGTAGTATCAGCATAGCATGACACACGTATATTTGATGATATTCCATATCGTTATGCCCTACAAACAGCAACCAGGGTCTTTTTATAATGATCTGAACTAATGTTTCGAACTTACTCGATATTATGCACCTTGGCTCACTCTCTCCTTTTTTTTTTTTTTTTTTACTAACGTTGATTCTTTAACTTTAGCAATGCACCTAATACGATTAACCATGTAATAATTCAAAACTATCTTTACTTTCATATGAGTGTAATAATGATCATATTTCAGAAATAGCTAAGAATCTTATTCTTGTCTTTGAACATAATTAATTCCGCTGGGCTTGCCTTGGCAGTGACGTTCGTTGGTTAGTTTTTTTCTTTTCGCTGTTGTAGGCAGTATCCCACTTGTTTTAACCTTAGGCCGGGAGCCTCCGCAGTATAAAGCATATAAATGAGTTCTGTATGTGCATTTATATACATTATTTTCAATTTAAATGCATTATTTCTCATAGCTTTCGAAATATTTGCGCACTACTTAACTGCTTTAATAATGGAAATTTTTTATTTTTATTAGTACAAAGGGGCTTTGTCCCTGAAGGACTATTGTTTTCGTTTTGCGATTTCGCGTCGATTCACCTACAAACAGCGAATCACTTTTAAAACTGTTGCCACAAAGTATTGTTACGTTTTTCTCTTCTCTGACACCAGTTGCTGCGTTATTTTCTTCCTTCGCGTTCGTACGGGGTTCGTGTGGATTTGGAGTGAAAAACTACGACACTTGATGAAGTATCGAAACACACTTTATTTGTCAGTATTGTCAGGACAGTTCCAAAACGCGTTTTACAGTCGTTGATGAACTACTATAAACACGCTGACACGATCAGCGACACAGCCTTCAGGTTATCAGGCTAGCACGGTGGAGACAGCTTCCTGCAAAGCACCCGACTCTGCTTTCCGAAGTACAGCTCCCGACTCTGCTTGGTCGTTCTCGGAACTCGACGTACTCTCGAGACTGTCCACGCTACAACTCGCGATGCACTCGACGACACACAGAGCACGGCTACCGACTCTTCGGTTCAGTCGTTCCCAGAGCTCAACACGCTCTCTCGGCGATGCACTAACCGCGATACACTAAGAGACTCCTTCGGTACACTCGACGACCCACTCGGCACGCGTTGCCCAGCTGTCAACTCGATCGACTCCGCACGACTCACTAGACGAGGCACACTCTCTGAGACACACTAACTGACTGCGGACCAGCAGGGTTTGTATAGCTTTCGGCTTGTGTTCGAGAATATTCTGGACTAAACCGGTAAGAATTCGTTCCAGAAGGTTCTCCATCCGTCCATGGTATATCGCCAATTTTGTCGCCAAATGGGCGTTTATTGTCAAAGGGGCCAAATATGGCAAGCCCTGCTTTCCCTTGCCATTTTATGGCAACCCTAAAACTTCTTTGCGGGGAAGCTATCTTACAGCGCCTGTACATTTCGTAACAGTATTATCGCCCTCTGTTATTTTTAAAGAACTTAAATAATGAAAAATCTGCATAAATGTATGTATATTTCTCGCTTTGTGATAAAACAACGGTACATAGAGCCTTCGAAGATTGAGTGACGTAATCCTCCTACGAATATGGACATATGGAAGACCAAATTTGAAGTTTGGAATTGGTTTTATTATCGATTTAATATTTTGTAAAACTTTAACGAATTTTTGAGTAACACACTCAACGATTTAAAAGCGAGCAATGGCAACACTCTACGGCGGGGGACTTTTTATCTCCAGCGCGCGGAACTGTGTATCGGAAATTCTAAAGATATGCTCCTTTTAAAATTATTTGGGACATTGCTATTGATCTGAATTTTACAGTTTAAGTGTAAAGAACGTGATATTTAAGAAATAAAGGTAACACAACGTTAAAAAAACGCCTCTTTGCACGTAATTTAAAATCTGAAACCTTTCAGATTTTTTTTTTTTTTTCTTTTCAGGAAACCTTATCGGCAGGTTCCAGCAGTGACAATGAACGGACTACCGAACATGTGTTACACTGTTGAATCATTGTGGGAAAAGCCAGATGCAAAGCTGGAAACCTTTCCGAACACATTTAGTAAGCTTTATTTTCATAGTTTCAATTAAGTTTACAACTTCATTTGCTTTAATGGGGAGAGCTGTTACAAGCTGCTTTTGAAGAGTGAAAATTTGTGACCGCTTGAGCTGTCGGGACTTCGTAACATATAATGAGGGGTACTGCAACGCATTAGAATGCAATGTACAGATTTTCTTTGATATAAGTCTTAGTAATGCTTCAAAAGAAGCATGGAATATAAAACTAGTTTGTACATGAAATTAAAGTTCTCTGAAATCACTTAAACTAATATTTAAATTAATATTACAATTAAGAGACATTAGAATTTTATAAGTGGTTACAAATCAAATTCAGTACAAACAAAATCAGGTGTGATAGAAATGGAAAAGATTTCAGTGTTAAATAAATATAATTGTATAGAAAATAATTGACTATCAAAAATAAGGACTGAATGAGAGCTAGCTAAATTTATGACATGAATTGTTCATATCAATGTAGATTGGAATAACTTCAACCCCAAACACATTAAATGAATGATACTACCCATTCAAATATTTACACTAAAGTGGTCAAAAACCTAAGTCATGTTCGCTCGCGTGTATTAAATATACCTTTATTAATGGTATGAAATACATTATAACGCCTCGCATGCTTTGGTAGTATAAGCTAACTAGACGTTAGAAGACTGTAGGCAATTATCCCTAAGCACGACAAAATCTAACAAAGGGTGTAAAGAACCGTTTATTAACTCAGATAGAAGATCACAGATGGCACCATTCGTGCTTCCAAAATTCAGCACGTTTAACTCTAAAATATAACAATTAACTTAAATGGAGTTAAGTTTAGTCTCACGGCTTCACAGGTTACTCAAACGCTCTCAAACGTCTCAGAAATCTAATCGCTAGTAAATCCAAGATAACGTTGCCTTCAGGCAAGCAGAACGCACTCTAAATTCACTTTTCAAAATTTTCCATTAAATTCTGACTTAAGGGGAGACTTAAGTCCCTTAAATACTTAAGGGATTTATGTCTTAAGTCCTAATAAGTAAGATTTTCTACCTCATATGAATATACGCGCGTTAGCTAATTTACATTCTGGCAAGAAAGTGTGAGTTAAAAGCAAGAGCAATAGGAAAGGTTGCTTCAAAATAAAATTAACTGTTAAATAAATTAAATAACACATAACCCCACAACATAATAAATAAATTAAATATACAGGGTGTCCATAAAAAATATCTGATTTCAAAATTAAAAGTCTCGAAAATAAAGATTGATAGAGGAATATAACAAGCGGTATATTTATGTGAAAGCAGCAAGATTGTTATATGGAAGTTTCGAAATAATAGTTAGGAAAGTTGCCAACAGATGGCGCTAGCTGTATAGACAAATAGTCAACTTGCATAAATAAACACGTCTTCTGCAAGCAGTCTTTGCAATCATAATCTTTTCGAAATGTCCACCTTTTCCACTACAGAGGTGTCGCAAACGAAAATTGAGACATCCTGCAATGTCTCAACGGAAATGGATTCAGATGCCACACACATGGACGATTCAAGCTCGTCCAGCGTAGTGGGATGGTTTTTGTAAAGAGTGTCTTTCAATGCGTCCCATAAAAAGTAGTCACAAGGAGTCAGATTCGGCGAATACGGAGGACAATCCATGCCTGCGTCAGCAAATTTGCAATAATCCAACGCAACGTTTCTATTCTGGAAATATTCATCAAGAAAACGAAATACCTATTTCGTGCGATCTACTCAAGTTTCATCTTGCATAAATCAGTCACTGCCTGGTCGATCCTCCAATGCTAGATGGGGGGCGATAAGTTATTCCAAAATTGTAATGCAATATTCATTAATGATTGTTTCTCGCATGAAAAAGGAGCCGATAATGCATATGCTCTTTACCGCAGCCCAGACACTCCTTTGTTCCAGAACTCATACGTGTATGGCCTGGTGATTTTGAATTTTAAATATCTAAGCTGCTTCTCAATATTTTCTGCGTGATGGAAAACTTCAAATCAGTTTCTTCTTTAATTTTTCGGACAAATTTTCTTGGATTTTTTCTGAATAATTCCATAAACAATGGCGATATTTTCAAGAGTAACTACAGTTTGCTTGCTAACATTCCCTACCGGATCATCGGCCACTCTGCCTGTCCCTTGAAACTTGAGAAACGCTTATGAATTTTCATATCGAGTCCTCTGTGAACATTAATCGAGTTTGAAAACTACGCTGTGTTGGCACAGGACTGTGTTCCGAATTGTGATATTCCAGTACCAAAAACAGACGTTGTTCTACAGAACACATAAATTTCAAACTTTTCCTTCGGTTCGCTAACTACCTTTTACGTTTCAACGGTGGAACTTGATTGCTTTTACTTTTTAACACTATCAGCCGAGATTATCGTGTATTTTACTCGACGTATTCCGGCTCAGAAAAGAATGCTCCATAGGATCTTCGCTATCTTAATATTATCTTTTATTGAGGAATACTAGGAATAGTTTAAAAAATAGAAAAATAATAGAAGTTAAGAATATAAATTTGGAAATATTCCTAGAAATATTTTACGTTTCTTCGAGAACTTATTTAAAAATGAATGAAATGAATCAATCCAAAATCAATGTTTTCTAATCATAGTTTTAATCTTAATTTACTAGGGGAAAAAATCATCAGCATACAAGAATGGAGTTACGCTATTTCATTCTGTTTTCTGACGATAAGTTTTAAACGTAAAATTATAAAAGAAGTCTAGTTTCCAGATAATTATTTTATTCTTTCTGTCAGATTATGGATGAAAACACAATCTCGCATACATAATTTTATTGAGATTGGCAACAAGAATCTGACGGCACTGTGTGTGACCGGCTTTGAGACTTGAATGACGAGCGGTGCTTTTCTTGAAATTAGAATTTAAGGATTTCATCTAAAGTTAGTTTAATAAGTTCGACAATCTCGCATACATATTTTTATTGAGATTGGCAACAAGAATCTGACGGTACTGTGAGTGACCGGCTTTGAGACTTGAGTGACGAGCGGTGCTTTTCTTGAAATTAGAATTTAAGGATTTCATGTAAAGTTAGTTTAATAAGTTCGACTTTTGTGGATTTTAAGTCTACTTGAGTTTACCATTATATAAAAGTACTTTAAGTAGACTTTGCTTTATTATTTCTCAAGAAAAAATGTTTTAAGTCTAATTCAAATCATGTCGTTCACAAAAGAATCACGCTCAATTATATTTTCACTTCCTATTCTGCTTTTATCGTAGAAGGAAATGTGAATTATCTATTGACAATAATTTTCCATTTAAGGGCATAAAGTAGTTTCCCTTAATACGAGAGAGAAAATTTTTATGGTTCTTACATATTTCTTCACATGAGTATGAAACAAACCTAGAACTATTTGCTTCTTATTTTATCAAATCAACTTTCGTTGCTGCTTCTATCTGCGTTATATTTATATCATTAGGAAATTTCCCTGTAACTAAGGTGTTTTATTAAAACAGTAGCTATGAATTTTGCTTGATGAACAAACCTCTTTATATGAGAAACTATGTCACTGTACCTACCTCAATGCTATCATTAGACTTGTACTTAACAAGGCTTTTTCCTTAACATGATATCGCTACGAATGCTGTATGCTATCTCTATTCTTTTTCACTGACAGGGCAAACAATGGGGAACTTCTTTTAGAGTAGGTTACTATAGTAGATTATATAGTTACATAGTTAACTTTTATTTCAGTCTGTGCCACAAAAGGTTAGTGTACTTACATCATCTGTATTGCAGTGAACAAAAACAGAGGCTGCATTAATACGATCAAATGTCTTCCATTCTATTGCTCTAAGAAAGCTTCTTAAAGAATATTGTGTTCTGTTTTGATACTGTGTCAGTCTGAAGCCGTGATTAAGAAGTCATCTGTATGTACAAGAACCTCGAATAGACGTATTCCGTTAAAAGCTTCAAATATGTAATTTTCAATTAGATTCCAGAAGAAAGGTGCAAGGCGCAAGACTTGGGGGTCAGCCTCTAGAAATATTTCTTACATCTGAGGCAATTTCGAAACGTCGGGACGTAAACTGGCTTTTGACTATGCTAATCAGTTGGCCTGGATAATCCATAGTAGTCAAAATATACAGGATATCGACCACCATAGCATTATAATTGCAAAGCTGTATGTTGTGTGAGGTGACGATGGTGTGCATGTCGTTGCTTCGCTTGGCTGTACTAGGAAGTTTTAATCTTTAAATGCATGCTTTGTTGATTTATTAGCTCTGAGGCCACACTACTATTCATTCATGTACCTCATTTCTGTCAAGAATTTGTTAAGTCATTAGACGACATTGCGCTCCAGCATCTTATTTAGTAATGGAAGGAAGCAGATGGACCTGTAGGGTATCGTGAGTCAAGGGTTTATCTCTAGCTTATGAAAAAGTGCTTCTTCCGATACTTTGGGATCGTATTTGAAGTACCTGATTTTTGAGAAGGCACTGATGAACACCTGGATAAATACAATTTTATTGAACATGATTCATATGATTGATATGATTGTTAAAACGTATTGACTAGGTCATCCAGTGTTTCTGCCTTTTTAAAATTAAGACGGCGTATGACTGCCCCGAGCTCATACACTGTGAGAGGAGGCACGGATTCTTTCGGAATACACGAGACTCTGCTATTGTAGTTCCTCCTGATTTAACGTTGCGGCCAGAGTGATCCACTCCTCAGTCAGTTTTGAAAACAGTGTTCAAAAGAAGATCAATTTGTAGACTGTGAATCGCATTGTTTTCTTAACCAGATCCGTAAATAACTGTACTTAGCATATCAGGGCAAGAAATCTACTTCTTAGTGCCCTCAACGTGGAATTCCCCATGTCACGTAAATCTAAATTTGCAGCTTTTGTGACAGGTCTGTAGTAGATGCGTGATCATGACGGAATGGGCGTGGTCAAGTTAGTCTTTTAAGATCGAATTGTTGAAAACTAGAATCAGTGTTTCTATTATTATGGCCAGATTGTTGATGAATTTCAAATGGCTGCTATATTTTGCTTTAAAGTGTTTCTTTGCCATGCTTCTCAGAGAGGATTTAAAGCTAAAAATAATTATTTTATGATCGCTTTTGATGAGGTATTTCTTCTGCTTCCCAAATCTCTATTGCGGAGACTGCTGCTGTATTAGTAAGGGCGAGGCCTATCCAAACTTCCTCTCTTGGTGTCCAGACCGTTGGCAGAACAGTCCTCAACATATGCTGCGTGATGCGGAGTGCAAATGGAGTCATGAGACTATATGGCTCTTTGTTCCTGTATTAATTCCGTTCTTTACACAGAGTTCCAGAAAAAGGGCAATAGGTTTTGAAATACTATGATGAACATTACTTGGAAGATGGGGCATTTAACTGATGTACACTTGCAGATTACACTAGACTAACTACTTGGAGGAGGACTTGTGACGGCGCTCAGGGAATCTATCTTAATCGTTGGATCCTATAATCAGTACGTTGTCGTAGGGATTTTCTTTATACTGCAAATCTTCTGCGTTTAGGAACAAGGGTGAAGAGAGTTTCGTTTTCTCCTGTTTGCAAATTTAGGAATCATAACTGGTTCAGCTTTGTCTCAATACGCATAAATTCAGTCCGAACAACTTCAAACAACTATGATCTGTACCTCCTAAAACATTTCTTTGAAAATTTCTCCGCCAAGAAACTACTTTGTGTCTATGTATCCAGCAACGCTGCTGAGAGTATCGTATCTGACCTCAGCACCTCTCTGACTACAGCATCATTGCTAATTTAAACTACTCGCTCTGTTGTTTTAAACAAATAACATTTTTCTATCTAAATCCTTTTTTATGCCCTTTGGGATCTACAGTTCGCTTAGCCGACTACGTATTCAGCTGGCGGCAGTTTCTTAGCTCTTTTTTAGCATCTTCCGTCATCTTTTCCGCTAAAGCTTGTACTGTAGCTATCTCCAATCAGGAAATTATTTCCATTTCTTATCGATAGATGGCACCCGTAACTTCTTCATTCCTCTTACTGTTACCGCTAGAACATAGGCTTCGCTTTCGTCATTTGTACTTCTTCAACTGAAGAAGATCGTCCTAGATTTAAACGTAAGAAATTGTAAATTTATGAATATTACTCAGATTCTTGTTGCTTTAACAATTCCAATAATTGTCCCTTGTGTTTCACGAAATTACATAAATTGCATAAATACATTTACTCGATTGAAGAATGTGAACTTGAATTCCCACGACATCTTCTTAAACATATTCATGAAAAGCACTTGTCAAAATAGTCATTTTGTGTTAACTGTTTCTCCGCCATTAAAATGAATAATGTGATATATTTGATGATCTGGGTTCTGTTTCTGTATCTTGTCGTTAAAAATGCATATCTATATATATTAGAATCATACAACAAGCAAACACCAGCTGCTTGTATAGTTCCTTGATAATGTACGCTCACATTAATTACAATAATCGCATTAAAATTTTGCGTGCATACTTATGCCTGTGAAAGGAATGCTGCAATATTTAAATGATATATTAAATTGAAAACATCATCTTATTACTGATTCAGAAGTCAAACAACAAAAATCAGCGTTAATTCACAAAATTTTTGTTGTTTGACTTCTGAATCAGTATTTATTCGGCGTGTTATTGTGTCTTAATCATCTTATTATCTAGTAAATTTATTGAATAAGGAGCGTATCATCGCAAAATGTAATCTAAAAATGGCAGTCTCCCATAAGTTACAAAGTGTGGTCATTTTGATTCAACTTCTGTATTACAGTTTCTATAATTTACGCATTCAGCATAACTAGAATATATCGCAGTCGCGCTTAATTACGACAATTAATTTTTAAGATTAACTTGTTGTGTTTGATTTTAGATAAGTAATCCACAGCATGCTACTATGATGTAATTTTTTTCATAGAATGGTAATAATATAATAAGAATATTCTTCTGTATTTATTATTCTTCTATTTTTGATAGTTCATATTGAATATCTTTTACATTTACGAGCTTTAACAATTTTATTTGAAATTTAGTGCAGTGCACTGTGAATTTATTATTGACGATTATGTTAATTGACCCGGTGTTATACCAAGTGCATGAATCTGCACTGAATGTAATTGCATTAATTTTAAGTTATTTTACACCATCGCTGATACGAGTATTTATCTAATAGAACAGATATGGAAACATAACAGACACTGTAATGTAAGAAATATTGGAAAAGTTTACATTTATGTAAGCAATTTATTATAAAGTTTTGGACATGAAGCTCTATTTTAAAACTGAAGATATTTGATAATGAAACATCGCTTTTGTGCTAAAATATTTAGTGAATGAAAGTTAAGCTCTTAAGTATTATTGAGTGATATAAGTACTACTAATTTACAGCTTACGAAATAGATTTGTGGACGATGCCAGAGGAATATATGATGTACACGGCACCTGTTATGGTCCAGACAGCAATTCATGATCGTCGGAGACTGGTCAATCCTTATGCTGAAGGTTATGCATTGAAAGGTGGAATACAATACGATGCATTTGTCTCTATGGTAAATACGACTACTTAGAAGCTTTCAGTAACATGTTTATGTATGCCACTCATTTTATGTGATGTTTGTGCATTTAAACGCACTACTAAAGAGTTAAGCACTGAATTATTTAGCGCAGATAAAGAATATAATAAGTTATAAAACAACATCACTTTATTTTACGAATAAAATATGTTGATTTGAAACTAATTTCAGGATTCAGGAGAAACAAACTAAATAATTATAATAAACGTTTAAAATACTTCTATTAATTTCATGAATCTCCTATGGACAGAATAAAAGAATAAGTTTAATACATCTGAAAGCTATAATAGTCCAGTGAAACTGAAATCTACCATTATTAGTAAAGGTTGAGGTAATGGTAGTGGTGACAGCAAGTTTATTGTTAGATCTAGTTTTATACTGCCGTGTGCAAAAGTTTAAGATCACACATGGAAAATTCCGCAATAAAAACATATGTTATAAATGACAAAAAATAGACTTACAAGAAGTTACTGAAGGAATACTTACAAGTATTTTGGCGGAACTCCTTAATATGTTTTTATCACTGATGCAATCCTTTTAGGCATGCTAGGAGCAAGAGACTGGCAGTAAGGTTGAGAAATCTCTTTACACCACACATGCTTTATTGCTTCAACAAGTTCTGTAGCACTGAATGGTAGTTTCTCGGTGACTTTATTATTTTTCACAATATACTGCAGATTCTCTATGGGATTCAAATCTGGGCTGCTACCTGGCCAATGAGGCACTTGGATTTGAGTAGCCCTCAGATAGTCCTTAACATTCCTTGCCCTGTGACATGGAGCCTCATCATGCATGAAAATTGAACTTCTGTGAACATCCAAATGAAGCTTCAACTTGTAACATACAAATTAAGGTACTGATTGTCGTTCATCGTGGTTTTAGGTGGCAGGAAATATACAGCATCAGTACCAGACGCAGACATTGCACCCTAAATTATCTGGCTTGGAGGGTGTTTCACTGTCGGAATTGTATATCTGTCATCATATCTTTTTCCAAATGGGGCGGCGAAGACATTTAGCACTTGCAAAAAATTTCTGCACACGCGACTCATCGGAAAACTCCACTAACACTGTACTACCACTATTAGTACTACCACTGTTTTTCGGTACAATTCTGATACTGTTTGGCTAAAGTCAGTCGTTCCTTTTTCATACTTTGAGTAAGTCGAGGTTTCCTTGCAGGTTTATTCCAAAATAAACCAACGTTTTAGTCAAACGTCTTGAAATAGTACTTGAACTGACGCTGGTACCCTTTACAGCCAGAGCAGCTCTAATATAATGTCAGGAGGTTGTTGGACATTAAGTGATCATCCTTCTTGTCACACGATCATCACGTACACAAGTTTTCTTGGGCGACCGCTTCTCTTAAGATCCGTATAATTTCTCGAAATTTTGAACATACTGATTAACTGATGCACGCCTGTCTTGCTGACATTTACCTTCAAACTTATTTCAAGTTCAGAACCATGCATGCCAGATGCAGGACCACTATTGTTGCCCATTTTTCAACAGCAAGTGAAAGCTTTTTACCCATTACAAGAATTATATAGCAGCACTGTGTATGCAAAATCTAGTAACGAACTACTGATAAATGAGACCACGTTATATTTATAGCAGTAGAAAGCTTTTAATACAATCAACCCATGAGATAAGGCATTGCGAGCGAAAATGGTGCAATCTGTTAAAATACAGGAAAACGGCTACCGGTCTTAAACTTTTGCACGTGACTGCATATCTTCAAAGGGTGGAGGTAATAGTAGTGGTGTCAGCAAGTTCATTGTTAGATCTAGTTTTATATATCTGTTGTGTAGCAAATTTAATGTAATTAAATTAATCACAGAAAATCAAAATTTTTAATGTGTCAATATTCAAATTTTAGCTACACAACAGGTTTGGATTTATTAATTTATTTGGTTAATATTAGTTTATTGTAATCAATTTGGGATTATTTGATTTTACGCGAAATGCGTCGTTGGTGTCCACTTCGTTTTCAAACTTGTACACTCAGACAATGGATATAGGTGAATTTTCACGTAATAAACTCAGTTTTTCATGTCAAGAATTAAATTAAACTCTTAGAATTTAGTATCAATAGTTGCAGAAAAATTAGCTCTTAAATTTGAGATAACTTTTATTTTCCTAACTTCAATTACAATTAAGTTATGAGCTTTTAATTAATGAATTTTTGCAGTTGTCATTGTGATTTTTATTCTGGGGGAGGAAGTCTCCCTTTTCCGGTATAAAATTCTCATTTTTAGGGTTCTTCAGTGCACTTTCACTGGAGTTTGGTCCAGGGTTGTTGAGATTCCCACGTTCTCCCCTCTTCTAGGTGTGGCTGGTTGGCGAGTTGGAAAATCCATTGTAGTTTCAAACCGGTTGGTTTTGGCGAGGCTGGCGGTTGGTTTGGTGATGCCAAGTTGGTGTTCCCTCGCGTTACTTTTTAACGAGGGAGAAGGCACGTTAAGCTTATCTTACTAGATTAGAGTCGCGTGCTCTGCGCGCCGACTTAGCAAAAGAAATGGCGGAGTTTTCTCTCGTCCGATCCCGAGCCTTCGTTGTTGAAAGAAAATGAAAGTGAGACTTCAACTTTCCTTCTGTTGTCTGCAAAATCGAGAAAAATTCCAGAAAATGTTCACGCTGCTGTTAAAAATTTCTTCTGCCTTATAATATCAAAGGAACTTATTCACAGTAATCTCCTATAGCATTTAAATCTACAAGTTGTTGTCATCTGTCTGAGGTATTTGCAAAAATCGAGAAATTCCTGAAAGTAATCTGCTTATTTCCTGTTTCAAGTTATTATTGTGTTAGGCCGAACCTTTAAACTAGTTTTGTCATGTTTAATCGGGAACGTGGGAATATCTAAATCCTGGCAGAGCTCCAGGATTAGGCAGCTAAATCTATTTAATTATTTTATTTTTTTTCCAATAGTTAATGGTTTTGATGATAAACTAATTTCGTTTTTGTACTTAAGAAAATTTTTCTTGTTATGCTGTTCCTAAAATTCTGATAGCTGAGATAAACCTTTAAGTTGATAAAGTAACTTATTCAGAATGGTTAGGGCAATATATATTTAGTTTTAAATAATTAATTAAAGCAGCAATTTTTTTTATTGTTAACCCTAATTCCCGGTGCAGGACTGGTGTGACGCTCGGCGAAATGGGTTGTTTCGTAGCGTTCTCCGGATCGCCGCCATATCCGTCGACGGCCGTCATTCCTCCGCAGACAGAAAAGAGATTCATCCGTGAACAAAACCCGATGCCATTCGATGGTTCACGCACTATGACGCTGGCATCACACCAGGCGTCTACTCTTGTGTTTAGCAGTCAATGGTACCCCTGTGGCTGGTGGCTGGTACCCGTGAACGTAAGTGTACTTCATGCAATCTGTTGCGTATAGTTTGTGAGGGCATAGATCCGCCTGCCCCTGGACGCAACTGGCTTCGGATGTTACGGGACGTGAAGAAAGGGTCTCCAATAGTTGACTGCCGAATACGCTGATCTGTGCGCCTTGACGTTCACCTGTGCGCACCACTTCCACTCCGACATGCAAGTTCCTGAATCCATCGTATCACACAACGTTAGATGGTACTCACGTTGTGCCCAACACGAGTGACTACTGTGCGTAGTGACAAACAAAGTTCATGGAGTTCGATAATACGGTCACGCTTCCCGGTCGTTAACTGATGGTATTGAGTTCGCGAACGTCTCAGAGGCATTTTTAATGCTTAAACCATCAGATGCTGTTTATGAGAAGGGAAAGTGGCTGAAATTTATATCCCGCGTATGCGTATCACCTGATCCAATGCATGCCAACTTTTATCATTTGCATATCCAGCTAACGACTCTCGCTTCTGCAATTTGCATGACGCTATGCGCATTCTTTCTTGGTGTTGAAATTTCACTTTTGAGGAGTGTATTAAGAAAGCTGAAAGTAATAATAGGAATGGCATCAAGTTCACTGACAGATAATTTTTATACTCCTTTTGCTGACTGCTGTATCCAGTTACATAATGAAAGAAACGAATTCCATAAATATTATTGTTTTAAAAAAATATTTTCAGTGTGTGTGTATATATATATATGTACATTGTTGAATATTAGCAATTCCGCACAGTTATCCTGCATAAGAAGCAAAGCTTCAATATACGTTCTCAGAACTAAATCTCATTGTATTCGGTGTGAACTAGCTCTCTTAACTACTTCCGGGACAGACACTCAAAGGCTCGATTGCGAATCGCTGTCTTTTTTTAATCTTGATCGCCTCACTAATTATCATAAGAGGTTTGTGAATCAGCATTCACATGCCTGTGTTACTAGTATTTAGCTTCGGAACTTAAATCTCTCGCTTGCTAATTACAAAGCGTTTCCTGTTCGCACTAGTATAGCACTCAGTATTCTCAATGCATTGAGTTCAAAGAAGAAACTCAGCAACGCATACTCAGACAGACGAAGGTTCACATTATTGTTTGCATTTGCGTGTACATATAGTTCTGAAATCACTTAAAGTTACTGAAATCTGATGTCACTAGATTAACATTGCTGCCACCAGATTGCTTCTTGAAGTCCATCGATAATTCTATCGCCATTTCTTTATTGGCACCGTCTGATTGCTTCTATTTGAACAATCGACCCAAAGCTTCTGCATACCAATACCTAATTGATATATAAGCTTCTTACCTATGGAGATGGGCGAAAGGATGGAAGTCGAACATGCCTTAACTCCATGCATTTCATCTTCGTCACCGCATGTCAGTCAAAATCGCTGCGTGATTAGAGGAATGTATGTGAACCTCGTTCATACCACACTAGCGCTTTAGTTGATCACAAGGTGGATCTCCTGATTAAATTATCAACGAGTTAAGAAGACAACTAAACCTTTCAACACCTAAGAATAATAACTATTGCAAATATGTAACACAATTAACGATTTCCCAGCAAGAATAAAATCTAACTCTTCTTATCACAGGAATGAAATCCGTAGTCTCTGTCCTAAAAGTGCTGTTGCAAGTACATAAAAAGTAACTAATTTTTCAGCTTTGTTATTTAACTATTTTACTGTGCTTTTATGTCTTTCAGACTGAAAAAAAACTTCTACCGTATCCGTACGATACAAACTGCACGGACTATCTGAAGCTGTGGAAAAGGAATGGCGGAACAGGACCCCTTAATGAAATGGTATTTTCTTTTGCTTACATGGTGGTTTTTCATAAAACATGTGCATAGATTTCTATTTTTAATGTCACAAAGAGAAAGTTAGTCGTCACAGAGTAATAACTGAAAAGATACAGTAACAAATTTTTAGCCTTGAAATTACATTTGTACGATGAAGACTGGGTTGAGTGAAACGCTTGAAGACTGCCTTCAATTCCCTCTCCTAAAACTTTGTAATTCTGTTCTGGGTTTCTTAAAGGTTACATATCAACGAGCTAAGATTTGAAGTTGGACTTGAATATTATTCATTGTTTAATCACAGCGAGAGGGAGCATCTAGCACGTTTTGTCGCGAAATTCAAAGAAAACATTTCTATTACTATAAATAAAAAATGGGATTTTGTGCTACATCTCTAACATACGCATAAGTCCAGTTATCAGGACTACTGTTCCTTTTAATTGCCTTAAGAAACATCTAATATCCTGAATGAGAACATGGAGCTTATTCAAGCTATGTTCGTGTATGTGGGGAATAGACAACGACAAAGAAGAAAAGTTAAATTTACAGTTTATTTTCCACACTTTACAGGTGTTCCCGCACTTCGGGATACAAAGACCATTCATTTTTGGTCTGAACGTAAGAAAATAACTACTAACTAAATTAATTTAAATAAGAGCTAACCTAGAATAATTTGCATAGATGAATGGCCTTTCAGAATATTACGTACGTAAAACGCAAACTGTGGAAAACTACAATACGTTTTAGATATCAAGAGGCCTAAACCTCTGACCTTAAAGGTGGACAGCAAGAGACTGATAGTACGCGTGAAATAAAGTGGCAAGAAGGCTCACTCTCTCTTCATCTATCTATGCTCTTGGCGAAAAGCCACAACTTAAATACTTAAGCGTTAGCAAGCAAAATTTACATAAACAGAATGAGGCGTTTATTCTGGCCGGAAGTGGAAAATAAGAGAGGACAGTAAAGTTTTAAAATGAAATAAACGTTAGTAAAACTTAAGATCCTTATACAATGACGTTTGGTGGAAGGAGTTCGGTAATAACGTTTTATGAACATTTAAATTCGAATTTTTACTGTATCCGATATTAAAAGTTCAAAAGTTCACGATAGCAATTTCTGCATCAAGAGGACAAGTGCTGAATTGGTATAAACGCATCAGCAAACTCTTGTTGGGTGAATGAGAGAATGAGACCCAGATATTTGAAATATTTAAAATTGCCCTTGTAAAAGTATTCTCTTTAGTAACAGATAGGCTAAATTAGAAGCAGATCATTCAGGAAATATCACTTGAAGAACTTGCTGAACGTAAACTGCTGAAAATTCAAGTATTTAAATTGTTATATTGGAAAAGGTCCGATAAAGAAGTAATTCAAGTTATCTTGCCTGTTCGTTCATTCTTTACAGCGTAAGTCGAATCACAGAGTTGCGTTGATTGATAAGTTACATAGTGGGAGATAAACTCTTTAGCAGAGGTGCCGTTGATTCAGCACAGTTTTATTTCGTAATTTCAAAAGGCTCAGCGCATTAGTAGTAGAAGTATTTATAGCAAAATGTTTTAAAAATCTGATTGGATAAGAGCCGTACACAATGCAGCATGATTACATACGAAACATGAAACAGTTTAATTAAGAAAGACCTAGTAAAGAAAGTTATTATAAACAATGTTATAAAGATATCTGCTTTCTAAACAGAAAGGGAGAGAACTAGATTAAAAAGAGGAATGGAAAGGAATATTGCAAATTTAAAGTTCTTTGTTTTCATTGATGTTTTATATCTGTCATATATATATATCATCCCGTATTTCAAGGTATAAAGCGTATCTATAATTTCAAGCTACATTATATATATATATATATATATATATATATCATCCTGCACTTAACAAGGTATAACGCGCATCTATAATTTTAAGCTACATTTTTCAATTTTTAGGTATATTCGCCTTATAACGCGTACCCAATTTTTCAAGATACCTAAAAGATACATGTACAATGCTCTTATCCTTTGGGGTAACTTATTTGAACATTTATCCTAGCCTTTCGAACAATGGTAAACCGCACTGACAAGCAATAAAGGGAACAGTATGTTTGTGGGTTAAATGCTTGAGGGCGTAAATATTCTGACAAAGAGCGTAGATTGTATTCAATGCAGATGTTTAAAAGAATGCTATTGTAGAGCACGTCCAACCTAAATGAATTCCTGGAATTAGGAGTTAGCTGTTTTCTCTTTCTGTAGTCATTTGAAGCCTAGATTTTGAAGTGAAAATCGAAGTAAATCGCAATTTATTTAGATGAAATACAGTTGATCTAGTGCTCCTTTTAGTAATAAATATGGCTCCTGCGAAAATAAAAAAACACAGTGATGGTTTCAAATCCAAAGCCATTCATTTTGGGAAAGAAAATGGAAATCGGGCTGCAGCAAGGATGTTTGATGTTGGTGAAAGATGGAACGGATAATGATTATTTATTCATGGATCAAAATAGCAATGATGGAGATGAAACAAAATTCGATGATACGCCTGAAGATATAACGGAAGACGAACATGACGAACTCTTCATGTTATCTGATAACGAAAATGTTAAATTTCATAAAGTATGTCATTTCTTTTAAATAAGCAGTATTTTGGTGCATGTAAAAATCTATTTTTTTCTTATTTTTAAGCTGTCATTATTATATACGGCGTATAACGCGCTCCCGTTATTTTCGATCCAATATTTTCAATTAAAAGCGCGCGTTAAACGCAGGAATATACAGCATATATGAATATATTATGCATGACACTACTTATGAAAATCTATAAACAATACTACTCCTACGACGAGTAGTTTAAATAAAAGATTTCATTAGTGCATATTTGAGACTTACTTTTATTACTTTAAGAGTTGTTAAATTTACGTAATTTGTTTCTTATCATCATATTAATTTATTGTTAATTGGTATTTTAGATGTGCATTGAGTATTGCAAGCTGCAAACTCTATTGGATCTGGGTTTATGTATTGACACGAATGTTGCCTATCCTCACATGGAAACTCTTTGTAAAAGAAGTACGTTGTATTTCAGATTCTCTAGTTTTCATTTTCTTTCAGTACAGCTTTTCTTTAATGTACCTATGTACTTAAGAAAACGTTCCAAATTTAGCCGTAAAGCAATCAATCACTTTGAATCTCCCAACTAAGTGAATCATTTCGTAATTTGCAATCCTTAGTATTGATGTTTATTGCAAATTTTTATTAAAAAAAAGGGTATTGTAAAGGCTTTAAGCAAATATATTTCAAATTTGTTTACCATAGTGTTCCAAGAAGCTGTAAAGTCTCAACTTACACTGTAAAAATTATGTGAAACAATTTGGCTTATTTCCAGAAAGAAGTAACTAATCCCAAACATGCCCCAAATTTGAGAAATGTAGCTTATTAAATCAAACCAGAAGTATTTATTAAAAGATCCCAAGTTACAAGTCTGAAGAAGGGAAGTATAATACTGATTTTTGATCACGTAATCAATGTTCAGTTTAGAAGTATTGGTCAGAAATTTCGGGGTAAATTTTCTGATGGATTACTCGGGTAGTTTTGCTTTCAATGTACAGTCAAACTTCAATTACAAGAGGCGAACTATAATATCAGCACCATTAAAAGGTGGAAAAACAAGCAATTCCAGTAAAATCGTGCATTGATGTGAAGAAATGGGATAAAATGTATCTGCAAAAGTTTATAAATAAATGCTCGCTTTTTTATTACTTAAGATTAATTGCTAGAACTGACTATTAAATTATTTGAATGATGGCATGGATTCACTTTTTATGCAGAGAATTTCCATTAAAATATAAAAGCCAATTTATAAAAGAGATCATTGTTCTAAACGCTTTGTATACGCAAACTTGCTTCAGGACCGCTTTTCATAAACTTTTTTTTTGTTCACTCATGGTGTTTGCCGTTACGATCGGAAGTTTGTCACCCTTTTTAAGTTACTTTTTTATAAGCTATCAAATTCAAATTTCGTATCCACATTATTTATAAATGACAATGTAGTGTGGAGAATCAAATTTTTCAAAATTCGACGTAGATATTTTCAGTTTAATGCTGAAGTGATGTTTTGCACATAACTTCATTTAATAAAATGATATTAAAATCTCATAAATTCACTGTTCGTACCATCACATAGAGTGGAAACATCTTTCATATGAAAGTCGTTTCAAACTCCCAACATAGTTTCACAAGTTTGGGCTAATGTTCCACCATTACTCCGTTTCTTCTACTATTTGACGTTTATGATTTTAAGATTTCAACATCTAAATATGTCCGTTACAAAATTTTGAAATTTTCGCAGATTCGAAAATAAACTTGCTCTCTGTAACAAAAATGATTAAAAAAGAAAAAGGTTAATTGGGCAATTTTCTGCACATTTTTTGTAACATGCCAGAATGTGAAATGGAGGGCTTCTTCCTACGGCATTGCTGAGAAACATAGTTTCAAAGTTTTCATAGTTCAACTATGAAAAACATAGTTTTATAGTTTTAGGATGTTATAATGAAGTCAATAGCATTATGTCATTACGTCAGTTCCCTTGCTGCGAATATTTACTTGCAGATTTTAATAAAAAGTAGTATGAAAGTAGTGGAAGCTTACAATAGAAATATCTAGCATTTTTGTGAGTGCTATTCCTCCTTTACCTTTTCATGCGTAGACTTTGCATTTACATTAATTTTATTAATCATAAAAATAGTGTTTAAGATTTATTTGCATTTAAAATTATTTGCAATGTGTCATTTTAAATTTTCTACATTATATAAGTTTATATTTATATTTGTCACTGTAAATGATAGAAATTGAAGAATGTCGACATTCTTTGGGTATTATATATGGCCACAGTTGCCTGTATGAATATACGTATGAAAAACCGAATATTTGGTTATATTTTTACACATCCGAACCATCACCGTTGAATGTTGACAAGCACAGATATGCGCTGGTGGAGGTCGAAACGAGAAGTCAAGAAGACAGATAAATGCTTTGTTATGCAGCGATTGAGATCATGCGACATCCATTTGTAATACTCCGGAACACTTCTCTTTGTCTAGCTTATGCAAAATTTGCTGGTGCATGTAACGTTCTCTTAATTTTAATTTTTTAATTCGATGCTCTAATTTATATTCAATTGCTAATAATAAAGTTTGATTTAAAAACACAACAAAATTGTTTTTATTCAACATTCGACATCAGTGCATAATGCCGGTCAGTCGGTATAGCGGCTAGTAAACCTAACTTCCGTAGCAATGGATCCGAGTTTGAATCCCGAGGAAAGCATGGTTGTAACTGTAAATTCCTTCATAGGAGGTAACGGTGGCCACCCTATTAGGTGTTTCCATAATGAAATGGCCACCAATTCCAGCCCTTGTAGTGGCGCAGGGGTAATGGCTAATAAATAAAGCGTCCGCCTATTAAGGAAAAAAAAAAAAAAAAAAAAAAAAAAAAAAAAAAAAAAAAAAAAAAAAAAAAAAACAGTTCATAGTGAATGTCGACATTTGCCAGTGTAAGTGAGAAATAAGGATACTTAGCAAATGTTTCGAACGTACACCAAATGACCTCGTGAAGGTAGACATTTACCGAAGACTGACTGTCAACATTCTCTAAATTTCGGTCTTTCTCGGCAACACAGATATATATACGGCAGCATTTCGTTTTAAAAGTTGATTGTCTTAATTTTGTTACAGTACTTGATATTATATTCCTTTACGGGACTGTAAAATGCTTATAACACTTATAAAAATTTGGAATTATCAGAAGTTACAAGACAAAATCTTCGACTTTTTTTAAAACAAGTATAATAATAATAATATTAATAAAAAAATAAAAATTAAAATAACAAAAAATTAATGATGAGAATTTCTAGATTTAAAAAGATAAAAACGAAAACAAAAACAAAGCCAAAAAAAGAAAAACTAGAGCGTTTTTATAAGTTTGTTTTTAACTCCGGCATAATGTTTATTCGTATGGTCAAAACTTTGTTGTCAAGTTTTAAAGTATTTCCTGATAAGTTAAAGCTTAAATTTTGCATACACGCTCATTGTGAATAACGATACGCAATTTTTTGAAGCCAGTTTTTAAAAATTTGTTTAGAGTTTTTAAAATTTAAAGTTGAAACTATTTTACTCACATATTTTCCTTTGATTAACAAACTAAAACTGTCAGAATTTTCTTGCTTGTAGCAACACATAGAACAAAAAATTCATTTTTAAATGAACATTATGAGAAATACAGTTTCTTATTATTTCGCAAAATTGCCGGAAGTAAGAGCGATTATTAATTGCTGTAAAATGATTTTTCAACTAAATAATTTGATTGATAACGTATCATTGAAATTAAAATCATGAAAGTAAAAAAACAAGGAAAAAAAATTACAAAATAAACTCTCGTTTAAAACTCAAAAGATGATTAATGCACTGAAAGAAGAATATAATTTATAATATAATTTTAATGAAAACAGAAAATTAAATAGTTTTATTTTGAAAATTCATCTACAATTTTATATTACAACTAATAAAATCGTAGGCTTCTAAATAACGAAATCTATTAATTTAAATAGCATCCACAATGTTCATAAATTTGTCATAGTTATCCCACGCTTTTATTATAAAAAGTTATTTGTATATTATTGATATAATTGTAAATAAATTCTGTAAAAGGAATTTTTTAATCTATTCTTCCTATTAAATTATATGATAAATTATTTTTCTTCTTTCAGTTCATTACTTATTTTATGAACTTTAAAAAAGCCTATTTTTTAAAATCCCTTTAAAAGTTATTCACTTTTCTCTTTTTCAAATGAATGCCGAAACAAGAAGATACATATGCGAACACGTATGTGCTGCGGATCTGACGCTAGCCTGCTTAGCTGTCTCTATTTCTCCGTAGTTATCACCTTGACCAACATTTTACCTGTTGGTCAAGATGAGAAGTACGGAGCTACCTTGGTCCTTAGTTGCCTTGAAATTGGTTAATCTTCTTGAACATCGAACTGAGGCTTACTGCTTTAAAACGCTTTCGGAGAAAATGCAAATTGTTTGAAATTATTTAACTAACTGCCTAAATAAGTTATAGCATTTATGAGGTTAAAACTATTATGATCCTATAGGGAAAGTGCAGTGAAAAAAAGCGAAGAAATGAAAAAATTACAATAACGAAGTGAAATAAGTGAAATGAATTAATATAAATTAAACTACTATTAAAATTTTACAAGAAGAATTTAGTGGAGTTATGTTTCCTGTAGAAATAAAGGGAAAAAGGAAATAAAGAATACTCCTGAAAATCTTTAAATCGCTTTGAAATTAAAAACCTCTATTTTAACAACTTTTGCTTAGATTTTAGCAGTAAGTCTTAATCAACAATTTCGAAATAACATTTAATTACCTTTTCAGATATTTCTGTGACCAGTGATATCATTAAGAATTGCACTATGCAGTGCGGGAATCCATGTATGTAAGTCATATTTATAATACATTTTTCCAGTGTGAAAAACAAAATACAAATAAATAAGTAAAATGATTACTATTATTATGTCTTTAAGCCTCTCAATCCAGTTATCACTTAGTACTGACAAAATTTTCATATTTTGCAGAAGTTCCATTTCATAAACAAAATAAAAATTATAGTTTCGATAGTGGGACAAAAAGGTCTTAACATTTCCGTGGCTAGAATGAAATTCCTGTTTTACTTAAAATAAGTTTCAGCAACTTTTCAAAATATAGAATGTGATTTGAAACTTGAATAAGATGAAATTGGCTTTATCTGTTAATTTAATTTTTTTTAATTAGTAGACATTTAAAAAAATTAGTAATGTTTTTGAATGGGAAAATTTTAATTAATGTTTTAAAAATACTTTAATTTTAAAATAAATCAAATGTTTTATTACTTGCCAATCTCGAAAAAAAGTTTATTTAATAAATTATCCTTCAAAATACACATTCGTTCTGAAATCTAATTTAATATATATAAATGTATAAATTTAATATAAAGTTTAATATATTTTGCACAGTTTTCGATTAATTATAATCATAAAGATCATGCTCTGTTTATAGCCCGTCTCCTTCTTTTAAAACTTCATCTATGTTTTTACATCTTTGCTGAGGAGCCCCACAAGCGGCTTTAGACTACTGACTCGCCGTGTTGGCTGCATATTTGGGTCTTACCGAGGAATAGTTTGAATAGTTTGAACGAATTGGTTAGAAAACTTTATATAAACTTTTTATAAACGAATTCTAAATTTACAGAACAAGAAATCACAAATTTTTAGAACAAGAATATAGATCACAAATCTAGGACAAATAAAATTCTTCTCTTTATGGCACTATAAATTATTTATCCCCTCTTATATTTATTTTTATTTAGAGACCACACATACGAGATTCGATATGAAGAAGTGGGCAATTATGAACGATATGTAAGATTTCATTTTTATTTTCTTCGAACTTTTATTATTTATATACAATTCTTTTATTAATTTTCATGCAGCAGTAATTTCAATTTTCGTAAACTAGAGCTTATTTCCATACAGCTTAGAAATGTAAATATGATTTTTTCTACTATGAAATAATTTTACTTTTTCACGTAAGAGCAAAAATTCGCATTTTCCTTATGCTTTGCTATGAAATTATCACACCAGAAAAATGGTTTTGGGGTATTGAACAATGTTATGCAATAGATACCTCAGAGGAAGCTGCTTTCAAGCTGAAGGATGTTTATCTTAGATTTGTGACTGCGATATCTAGGTAGAGGATGATCACTTAAAAATCATTGAAATCAAACAGAAAATCGTTTTGAGATGTTGAAGGTAAGGGGAGAGATGTAGGAGACACATGATTTTCATCATTGAGTTTAATCATGGGCTTTCATCATCAGTTACGTATGATGCCTTTTTTATTATAAAGCCAGGTTCGCGATGAACAGCATTAATAGCCGTAAAGACAAGGAACATGGATGTTGTAATACATCAGAGGAGTTTTCTCATCCAAGCATTTTAACCCTTACATGAATGGATTTTTATTTTTATTTTTGTCAAAAATACATTATAATTGATATCAAATTAAAGAAAAAAAATACTAAAACAGGAAAAATCTAAACTGTTTATTCCAATTTTTGAAAAAACATTATCAACTTTTACAAAAAAAAAAAAAAAAAAAAAAAAAAAAAAAAATGATGGGCAAATGCATAATAACAATTTTGTGTAATAATACAATACCTTATAAACTTGTTCAAACAGTTTTAAAACTTTGAATACATCAAGATAACAACAAACAGAAAATCAAAAATTCGTAAACACAAAATGATATCCACACCGTACACATCAACTCACAATAATGACCGTTACACCTTTAATGGTGCCATTACACAGAAAATTTCAAAACTATGTACGTAAACAGCTTGTATCCAATTCGTTACACTATGCAGTAAGCCAAAATTTGTGTTTTGATTTGATTTACACAACTAAATCTGAGTAGGTTGCCAAATGACAACTACATGCATTTAAGTGTTAATTTAACTATGATCCATTTCATTAAATTTCCTGAATTAAACCCTAGCGTAGGTCGCAAAATATGACTTAATGCAACCTATACTGCAAAACCTAGCCCAGTTCTCATATGGCACTGTCGGATGCGTAATGAAAGTTAACTATTATAATTTGTTTTTTGTCGGACAAGCCATTGATAAACATAATACCGGAAGAACTTCTTATTACTTCTTAAAATATTTTTAAAAGCGTGTAGACGTTACCTATGTAAATAATGCTTATCTTAATTCAAATTTTAAGACATTTCCTTTAAGAACAGTTTTACTATTATTTTTATGACATATTGTGTATGTGCACATATCTGGCCAGAGATAGAACGTTTTAAGCATGTGAGGTTTAAGCATATAGCTCAGTTTAAGTGTTAATATGATGTGTTAAGATTAGAACAATTTTATTATTTTTCTGCCATATTGTGTATGTGTACATATCTAGCCAGATAGAATGTTTAAGAGAACGTTTAACTAGAACGCTTAAGAAAATGTTTAACGAGAATGTTTAAGAGAGCGTTTAACTAGAACGTTTAAGAGAACGTTTAACTAACTAGAGATAGGACGTTTTAAGCAAATAAATTCGTTGGGAGCAAGATGACCCCCGAAAAGTTCGTCTTTTTCTTCTAAAAGTCCTTCATATATATTTAAAAACCTAGAAAACCAATTGGTAACTGGCTGTAGCCAGGGATTAGCCTATATTTTGTGGAAGAAGAGAAAATTCCAAGTTTAGTACGAATGTTGTAAGCCTCTATGGCTACATATAAATATGTATGTCAAAACACCTTTCTACTAAGTATTAAATTCAAGTATATTACTCTTATATCCAGACACATTGCCACGTTCTTTAGCATTGCGATAACATTCGCTAGAAGGAAGATATTTAAGAACATTATCGTGCACGCTTAATTACTTTTTTAAAGTGATTACATTTTCAGCATGCTATTCTAATGATTTAAAATAGTAGCAGAAAATTAATTTCATTTTCAACAATGAAAAGCGAGTTAATTTTTTCGGAGCAATGTGTATGTTTAATTCTTTTACTAATTTATTCACGTGTTACAGCCAAGATAGTTATCAGTAAGATGCCTTCAAAATACTTCTGCACTCAATATTAATTTGTTTTAATAACATCTATAATATTTGACGAATGAATATTTAAAAGTGAATAGCATTGTTTTAAGCACTTTCACTGTTGTTACATTTGCAAAAATCAGTCGAAAATGGCTGACAATAATAATCGATGTCAAAATATCGGATGAAAAATCTTGCAACTTTAAAAATGTTGAAAATTTATTGTTTGATTATCTGAAAACGAAATAAAGTACTTGAAATGAAATAGTATTGGTAAAATTCGTACAAAGTAAAGTTTAATTTAGATTCATTAATGGTGTATAAGATAATTAAGTGTGACAAATATGTTTCTAAATAATGCGTAACTATTGGAATGATCGGAAAGTAATGCAAAATTTGTGTTTAACAAAATTAAATGCACAGATGTGTACGTACATGATTTTGACAGTGAAAGTTTGAAAAGATTATCGTAATTTTTGTATTTCTTTCTCTCTCAATTCCACTCAATTATTTGTTTCGTAAGATAATAAATGTTACACGGCAGACCGTAGATTCTCCATATTCTGCTTTTATTAATTTCACTAGCACAAAAATGCTTGAAGAACCAGTCAAAACGTTTTGTTCAGCATTCAAAACCTTATAAATGAACGCTGTTATTCTGAAGTGACAATTTCAATCTTGAGAGTAGGCCTAACGATAGGCGAGCAAAAGAGGATGAACATAGGAACGGAAGATGCTAATAAAATTAAATCTGCATGTCACTAGTAAAAAATACTGCAAAGGCATTACTGCTAACGCTAAGTAATAATACAGTAGATTTAAGTATTTTTTATCAACTTCCTGTTTATGAATTGCTCCTTTTTACGACCCATCGCGCTGGTTACAAAAATTACCTTGATTTTTGCTCGACGAACTAAAATTAAACATTGTTTCTTTTAAAAACTCACGTTCTACCTTTCTTTTTCTATCTTGCTATTTTAATAACAAAAATTTAATGAAGGAAACAAAATTTCCCGCAATAGGTTGATTGGCGAAATTTTCCGAAGCTATAGATAAATAGGAATCATGTGGTTATCGTTATCAGGCTTAAACAAGACTAACTCCAATCAAACTAGACCACCAATCCTTTATAAAATCTTCGGAACAACTTTTAAGTTTCTGAAGAGAGAACGTTTTTTCATAGCAGACCAGAATATACCCGAATGGAATACAAAGTTATTCTTTTAAACGAATAAGTGTCAGATGCTTGTTTGGAATGTGTAGAAAATAATAGTGCAAATTTCATAATTTCTTTTTCTTTTTAAGAATAATTCTTGAGGTCCGTAAAAGTTCTCGAATTCGAGAACCTACTGTAGATGACTTCAAATGCTTAAGAAAAATATTTCGTGTTGGTGTTTGAAATAAATTAACAAATGAATTCAATTATGCAACAAAGAGCATTTTAAGGCGCATTGTTGTATAAACATTGTAATTGTAATGCAACAAATCCTTTTCTTATGAAAAGGATTCGTTATGTAACAAATCTCACAAAGAGAGGGGGGAAAGAGGCAAAAACAAGATTAGATATGAAGAACGTTTTGCTCTGCATGTAGTAAGATATGGAAGATATGGTTGAATTTGAATTATTAGAAAATAACCGAATAGCTAATGCAGACATGTATTGTAATCAGATATACAATATAAAAGGGGGATTCAACAACCAGACGACTTTTATTGATCAACAAATTTAACATGAAACTTCACTATGATAACCATTAATCACATATTGCAAAATTTGGCAAAAGCTTAACAGTAGGAAATTCTTCCTCGTCAACCTAAGAGGCCGAATGCTGCTCCTCCATTTATTACCACTTTAAGCTCCTGCCGCTGTTTTTTTCTCCTTGACAAAAATGTTCAAAGTATACAGGAGGATTGAAATAATATGATTATGTGTACATTAAGAAAAAAAAACAATTGAATTCTTCAAAACGAAATTTAAAATATTGCCAGAAAGATGAGTAGAAGTCATATAAAATGATGGATAATACACTGACAATTACGCGATAAAGAATGTTTCACACTTAATACTTGTCTGTTTTGATCTTGCTTTATTTTCCGATCAATCTGATATTTTGAAAGAAGTGTGTCAATTGAGAATAGTTTCATCTAGTTTCTAACAAAAGTCTATTTGTGTTTCAGTGTAACACCGAAAATTGCAAGTAAGTCGAAACAGATTTTTTAATTTCTTCATTTATGGAAAGAAATCATTTATTTGATTTTGAGTTTCAGCTTTGTAACAAATTGTTCAAGTATATAATTTTGAAATATAAATTGGAAAAGTTTACGGCTGTTTTGGAAAACTGCCCAATTTCTGATTAGCTGCTTGTTAAATAAAGTAATTGCAATGGTTACAATTCGTGCGATTGTTTTATTGTTTCTGAAATTTCATTTTTGTTTTTTTTCTAACTTTTAAGTTTTTTTTTATATTCGAAGTAATACTAGGCTGCCAGAATACAAATTTCGACAGGCATAGACAGAGCTCGTTGTCCATGTATTGGACAAGTCTACTGGAATAATAATACTCATCAAATACCTCTACACTATGATCTTACATTTAAGTGACTTCTCTAGAAGACCGGTCGATAAGTCCCTAAGCACTAGTACAATCGATAAGTCCCTAGTTCGATTCAGGTTCGAATCCTGGTGAATGGGATATAGCAGGGTCTTTTCAAGTTATTTCCATATACAGTGGTACCTATACAGTATCCACATACGGTGGTTTCTAGTGACTTGATATTGCTATCCATATATGTTCCATAATGGTAGCCCAAA